TGAAAAATCAAATGTTTTCTAGAATGAATTGTTTCGGAAACTGAACTGTTATTTTTGATACAATCATAAACCTCTAGTTTCAAATATTCTTTTTTATGGAGATGCACTAATATTACAAGATTTTTAAGAGGACGGAGCGTTACGAATGTGGCGATTTACTTTGGATTTGAATTGCTGTAACTCATATTCATTTCAATTAACTCCCTAGAAGTCTATTCCACAAATATATAGCCGTGAAGTGGTGGCTATGTGGTGTGAAGAATGTCAAAGGATCAAGATGGTTCAACTTTATATACTGTAATTAATTTAAAATAGTAAAATAAGAACCCTCGCTTTTCGAAGTTTTCAAATTTTTCAAGATATGATAAATAATAAAGGTAAACAGGTTTACGATTCAAACCCTTCACTTCCTTCCACCTTGAATTTCTTACAACTTTACTGTTTACTATTGGCTTATCTCTCACTTTGGAAAGATCCAAGCAGATTTCAGTAGTTTTAAAATAACCAGTAACTTTGATATTAGTTTCATATTTTTCGAACCTTTTTGAATTCTATGATCATCCATTTTCTTTGGTTAATGTTTCAATGCTTGTTATCATGTTATTTTGCAATCATATGAACTCAATCACTATTTTGGAGAGAAAGCTATTGACAAGATGGAAGTCAATTTATGATCGAATGTTCGGTTCAAGTATTTTCTTCAAGAAATGTAAGATGAGTTTCAATTGAAAATTTATTTATCCCGAATTTTGAGAAAACTTCAATATGCTTGCCCATAAATGAATTAGTCATGACATAACTTTGAATTGTGAAGCCACGTTCATGCAAATTTGTTATCAGGTTGTTGCCAACCTGCAACCATAGTAAAGGTGATATATTTCTTTCCCTATTCTATAGCTAACCTAACCTAACCCTTTACATCAATGAAAACGCAATGAGCCATTTCTTAGCAATATCTTCACTGTGAGCACTGATTGTAGATTTGTGAGGATTTTTCCAAATTGCTGGCTATTTATCTATTGCAGACTCAATTCTTATGAGTACATAGTAATATGTAATTTTCTCCATTATTTCAGAAAAAAAATATGTGAGGTTCATAGGCTGTTAAGACTATGATTTGACCTATACTTGTCTCATAGTGTCTATAGTAAAGGACCTAGGATTTTGATATAGGCTGTTCACGTTAAGAGAATGACGTCATTTTTGGTAATTTTGTATATCCAACATAACAACGTTAAAATACACACTGAAATACGTTCAACAGAAATGAAACTAGTAACATTTCATTTTGTAAATTGCTCAACTGATAGTAAAATTTCAGACGTTGTCGAATCGAAAAAAACTCGAAAACTGTCAGTCTTTCTTTTCTTTTCAGAACTAATCATTTCTTTTGATAAGACCTGCGTATATTCAATATGTCTAAAGCATTGTCGAAATAGTACCAACAAATAACAAAATTAAGTAAGGATAATAGCAATAAAACATATCAACAGTACAAAAAAATTTGTAAGTTCGAAATAGTGCACATGTTGGCAACGCCGTAACGTGTCATCTTGTGACGTCATTCTCTCCTTAACGTGAACAACCTATACTTGGTTGTAGAGATGAGGAAAACGAAAACTTTCAATGGCCTATTTTATTCTTTGGATTATGAGGTTTTCTGTTAGCTGCGGTTTGTTTTCCCGATAGATTTCTACAAGCTGCAGTTCTACCATAACTATCATGGAGCTATCATAAAGTTCACTAATGATTTCTTTAGGAATGCTGATAACTCCCCATTAGTTTTTGACAGTCTGATATTATTCGAATTTTCTTTAGAAAGAACATCGAAGTATAAAAACAAAGTCAACATCATATAATTCACAATTATTAGGTAAGTTCCACTTAATTGAATCTATTAGGCATCTCTGCTATGCTACAATGAATTATTTCAATTTTTTTAGTATATTACTTAAGTCATTAAAAATAACCAATCAAAAATACATATACACTGATAACAGTTTCAGTAGCAGTGTTATCAAATCAAATAAACATTATTATCAGAGGAAAAATAAACATATCAATCAATCAATCAAAACTGTGCTTTATTGTCCAAGAACTAGTCCTTATTGATAAAGCAATGAGTGCAATAAACAAACATAAAAAAGTCAATATAAAACATACATAAAAAAAGTTAATAAGCTACAATAAATTTAAGTTTTTCCATCAATGTGCATGCCCAGAAACTTAATACATGATTTATTTTCCACCTTATGTGTTCAGACAGATATTATTCAATATGTAACTTGTTTAATTTGTGGTAATTCATGATCACTTTAATGAAATATATGAAAACACTTTTATCTAATTACAACTAGTGGCAATTAGACAAAAGTGTTTTTATTCATTGCATTAAAGAGATATTATTCAATTTGAGCTTGAAGGTTAGGATTTTAGTTTTATTCATATAAAAGCAAATATATATAGTTTGAGTTACATCAAGATATGGCCTTCTGTAGATCCTGGGCTATGACTGTTTTTAAGCTTTCCACATTTTTGCCATGCCATATAAGCTTGATATCGTCAGCAAACAATGTGTGACTTTTCCTGTGATAGGTAAACCAGTCAAATCATTGAAGTACAGTAAGAACAAAACAGGACCTAGCATTGAACCCTGAGATACTCCGGATCTGTTGTCAGAATAACCCGAGCATTCACTGAAAGTTTTAACCCTTTGTTTTCTGCCAGTGAGATAAGGTTCAACCCATTTCAAAGCAACACCCCTAAATCCATAATGATGAAGTTTATTCAGCAGTATTCTGTGATCCACACAATCAAATGCTTTGGAGAAATCACAGAACACTGCTGCAACCACCTCACCTTCGTTTAGGCTTAAATAAACATTTTCAAGGAATGAAAAGATTGCATCANTGTTAATTGTATTTTGTCTGCAATCCTTGTTATGCATGTACATAATTTATTTTATTTTATCATTTTACTCACTGTACTTTGTTGTATGTCTATATGTTTTTTGACTTGTCCTATGTATTTGCTCGAATGGATAAATAAAGAATTGAATTGAATTGATTGATTGGATTGCTTCGGAAACAAGGGAGTGCTTTTGTGAATCTATCTAGCTAATTCCAGCTAAAATTCTCAGAGTTTTTTTCTGTAATGTATTTTCAACTCAGTGAAATTTTTTATTGGTTTCAGATAGTTTACTTTTCAAACTTAAAATGTGGCTTGACCAATTTATCCTGTTGTCCAGAGTAAATCCCAATAATTTGACACACTGGAATTCAGTTAATGGCGGAGCCATAGAAACAATCATGTTTTACGATTTTTCCTTATTTATCATGAGTTTGTTGACACTGAGCCAGTGCTCCGCTTTCTCTTGTATTTCCATAGAATTGTCAACAAGCTGAATAATTCATAGAAGAGTATATCAAGGATATATCATAAGCAAATAGAACACTGTGACATGCCTTCATATAGTTCTAAAAATCGTTGATGTGAATAACAAACAAAAGCGGGCCCAAAACAGATCCCTGAGGTATACCTAGGTCAATAAAAATATCAATATAATAAACGAATAAATATAAGTGCGTGAGTGTATCAAGGGTCGAAGTATCATCAAAATACTCCTGAATTGTATAATAGACCCCATCAACCATAAGCATTTTGACCACTGTTTTAAATCTATTGTACGCCACTATTTATTTAATTTGGACTGGCAGGTTATTGAATAGTTTATTACCATAGAAATTAATTGAATATTTTAATAAGGAGCTCATGGAAGTAGGCAGTTCTATATTAAATTGATGAATGTAGCCGTTACTACGTGGTAGGAGATCATAATGAAAAGAGAAATGAAAATTTTCATTTCTCTTTTCATCGGTTCTATATTGATATTGTGCCTCCAGGTATTATAAGAAGGTTGGATCACGCAAGACAAATGATGTCTTTTATTGAAGAGATAGTTTCAAAAATGAATAAGGAGGCTACTGTTAGGATACCATGAGCTTTGAAAAGAGGTTTGCATGTAACCTGGGATACAGCTTTTTGCACCTGTATTGGACAGCCCCTTTTTGGAAGATCTCTAGAGCAAACTCAACAAAAAGCTATTCCATATCTAATATGGGAATCTGTAAGAGCAAAATAGGCTGTTTTTGAATGGGCATAGCCTAGTTCTGTAGAGGTGACGCTCAGCGTGTAGCAGCCTGAGGCAATCTTCCTGCTTAGATTTATTTTATGGTCTTTGAACTTCAATTTATCATCGATATTCAGCCCAGGAAATTTATAAGTATGTATTCCTTCTAGGATTTCTTCACCAAGGCAGAAAGTCTTTTTTTGTAACAGCCCTACCAATCTGAGTGCAACCCCACAAAATAAAACGATCTTTGTATAAATTTCGATATACTGCCTAGAAAGTTTTAAAATTGATTTGTATTGTACCAAGAACATGAAAAATAACAATTAAAAACAATGTACAATTTATATCAACTATACTTGCTGACCAGCTCTTGCTAATATCTCTGATGAAATTATGACTGGTGGGGTTGCTACTTGCAAACTAAATAACTATCACAGTATTCATATGATCAGAATATCACATAATTGGAGGTTCAGTTGCACAATTTTCTTTTTTTAGGTTGGTATCTGGTTGGATGGAAGAGAAATTTCTGCCTTGATTTATACAAGTGATATAAAAACATAGAAAGTTTCATTTCTCTATTTTCATGATGATCTCCTACCACGTAGTAACGGCTACATCCATCAATAAATTGAAAAAAAAATTGGTGGTTGAAAAAGTCATCAGAGCAGTCAAAGAAATGCATTATAAATGTAACTGTAACATACCTATTGTATTGAAGTTGTAGATATTTCTGGTTTTTATGCTTTGGTAATCTAGCTTTATGAATTTCTATAGAATCATATCGCTAATTTACCAAAGCACAACAGCCAGGTCTGAAGTCTTTCGGAGCCCTATATAAATTTACTATACCTTTTGATATACATACCAGATCCAAAGTTGAATCTCATCCATGGATGATTCTCAATCTGTGTTATAGTCAAGCGTTTCTTGTCATCAACATTCAAAATTTGCCTTGCCAAACTCAGAGCAGTATTACCAAGTTTAGACCACGGGGTTTCAGATAAATACATGTCTGTTTTCCATTTCATAAATTCTTTGTTTTTTTCACTTGGTTCTGACCAGGGAAGTTCTATAAAACAAAAATTTTTTGACGGTGTCATACAAAATAAATAATCACTCACCACCCGTTAGCATAGTTACAAACACTATTCCACAGCTCCATATATCGGCAGGTTGAGCTCTGTATGGCCTCAGCAAAACTTCAGGCGCTAAGTAAGGTTTAGTGCCACATCTGAAAATTATAATTTGTTAGGGCAGTTCAATGTTCCATAAGTAAATAACATCAAATTAAATTTTTCAACTGAACAATATGAAGAAAAATCGATTATTGTATTGACAGCAAGGAACAGCTAATGACAATTTGCAATTTTTTTGAATACAAAGTCTACAAAAATCACAATCAACTTCCTTAAGAAAACAATGATTACCAGATATACATAATATATTTGAATGCTGAATATTTGCTTTATTGCCATTTTTCGATTATACCAAGAAACTTCATATGACTAATATCCACAAGCCAAAATAAAAAAAAAATTGGTTATAATATGGTTACAAATATAATTTGATAACTACCACTGGCAATGTTCATTTTAAATAAAGTTTAATTTTCGAGTTACTATTAAATACAAGATCAAAAATAAAAAATGCAGTCAAACGTTTCCTAGAGAATATATTAAGTAGTTATTAGTAGAGAAGGTAGAGGAATTCATTCAAGAAGGTTCCATATCGGTACATGAAAAAATAAAATATCATCAGAAAATTTTAACCATGAATATCAGAGACAGGTTAGGTTAGGTTAGGTCCAAAGTGAGAGGGTCTATGCGACCCTCCACTGCAACCCGCAAGGGTTTATTGTGGCTCACGCCTATTCACATTCGACCAAATAAACCCAGCTTCTTAACCGATTAGTTTGTATGGTGAGTGGCCTTTCAAATCAGATGGCAAGAGTACGACTCTGCTGAACTCTAAAAACCTGATTCGGTCCCCAGCGGGGCAGGCGCAAAGTATGTGATCTGCTGTTTCATCATTTTCCAAACAGAGGCGACACACACTATCTTCCGACAGTCCGAGTCTCTGCATATGATGATTCAAATGACAGTGACCTGTAAGAAGGCCTGTTTAGACATCGTAGTTCATCCCCACTGTACTTCAACAACTGTTTTCTTGCCATCCTGGTGTTCAATCTTTTTTTGGCAAGACCTAAAGCGATGCCAATGACAGGTTCTGGCCCGATGAAGCTGCTTGCAGCACCCTCCTTTGCAAGGAGTCAGCAGCCTCATTGCCTTCCAGGCCAGTATGGCCAGGAATCCAGGCCAGAGACAATCTGTTAAGTCTTCCTATAGAGAAGAGTCATTTATGGCAATTGGCTACCAATTTAGACATTGCTTTTTAGTAGCCAAAAGCTTGCAACGCCGCTGACTGTCCGAGAATATTTTTATTGACTCGTGTTTGAGGTTGGATTCTTCCAATCTCTCCGCACACAATTCAATAGCGTGAATTTCCGCTTGAAATACAATCGCATAGGTTCCTAGGCAGGTTGATATCTCTGTCCTGGGTCTACGACAATATCAGAGATAAACGAGGATTCCAACGACGATCCGATTCAACATTGGTTGCAGAATGAACATTGTCTTTCTGTCTCTATTCGCAGTTTTCACTGCAAATAGATACTAGGGACCAAACCCTCTCTCTGTAACGGACCACCGCTGGAACGCTCCCTCAACTTTGATATTCCAATTCTGAGTTTTCTGTTAATACCATAGATGGCGTCTTCATAACGGGAGTCCTCATCGCCACCACTCAATTAGTGGTGTGGTTCTTGTTAGGGAAAGAAGAGTTCAAAATTTGGTAACACCATTGAGATCTATTGTAAATCGAAATATGGCAAAGCAGAAATATGGTTATTGATTTCTTTCAATGATATCACTATCCCAATCTGAATCGGCATTTATCCATCTATGGATTAATCTAGAGTTTTTTTTCAGGGACTTTCAAGCTTCTAACAGGGACTTCCAAACTTTGACAATTGACAATGGCCATCTTTTTGAAGCTACATCTGAATATTACTGGAGTTTTATCCCAACACCAAACCGTTATTTTAAAACCTCGACACGTGTTTCGATCACCAAGTGATCATCTTCAAGAGGAAGATTAAAGTAAATATATGTACAATGTTATCCTTATTTATACCATAGATACCTTTTCTAGGTGTCTGTGTCTTAAGAGTCTTGAATTAATTTCACAATGTTGCTTTGTCTACTAGTCTTGAATTAATTTTACAATGTGTCCTTATATAATAGTCAGGTAAATCTGATGATTAAAATATTATTTCAACAAGCTATATAGGTTTGGTCCACCAATGTTATTCATAATATTATTATCCCCGTCACCTCCTTTATGCAGTGGTGTGACTACTGATGTTGTCAAGAAGTACAGAAAAATACCCTGTTAGAAAAAAATCATTAATTTAACGAAACAGTACCTATGACGTTGGTTGTTAGGTTCTCGAAGATTCACATTGAGAGGTTATCCATTCTGGAAGTTGTTTTATTTTTGATGTTATTGATGGTTATCTCCTTAATAGTCATCTGCGTTATTGATCTTAATTGTTATATTTTCAACAATAAGACAAAAATAATCATTAATTGAATCAGACGATACTGAGGTTTCTATGGGTTTTTTATGTTGCTTTTGCTTATCAATTTGTTCACCTTATTTATTCTATCATTATAATACCTTTCTTTTGCTTTTTTTTATAAGCATTTTTCTATATTTGTTAATATAGTTGATTGTTAATTGCTCATTGACAAGATATTTCTTGATGCAGTGGAGTGATTACATATTTTTGGTGGAAATTCGTATATCTACAGAAAGCTACGGTTTTAAAAAAACACATAGTTCCATGTGAAAAGATTCGAATGGTTGTTGGCACATGAAAACAGGTTCTATAGAATATTGACACAATTTGATAAAACTTGCCATAATTTGTATAACTACATAATTTTCCAAATTCAACTTTTTTATTGTCTTACCTGTACCTCACCTGTACTCAAATTTAAAGTACTAATGATCGCGTCATAATCAGATAGATTACATGATATAACATAACATGATACCTCAACCTCTTCAAATGTACTGCAGAAGTAATTAATCATAGAATATGAATGGCTAGAACAACAGCTAACCGTCCAAGTACCACACACGTGGTTTTTTTTATTCATTTGGAAAAACGTCATCAGGAAGTTCATTCCACATAAACGCAGTTCTCCAAATGATACAGTTCTTAAACAGTGAATTTCGAGGTGTACTGAGTTGAACCTCTAACAGTTGTTTGTGAGTTTTATCGAAATTTGGATAATTTTTCTTTGTACACTGCCAATTCCAACTTTAGCTTTACCATATACTTTTCAATGGTTGAAACTAGAGCTTAAAACCAAAACATTAATGCCTGCCTCAGTCTCATGAGTCTGGACGCCGCCCCCTATGTAGACGTCTTCTTTGGGGTGGACAGAAAACTCAAGCATTTTTTACAAATGTCCTCACAGCATTCTGTTGCGAAGCCTAGCTTCAACATCAACTGCCGAATGAGAAATCGCTGTTTTTTTTCTGCAACTTTCACTGCCAGGCAATTAGATTACTCCAGAAAAATGCAGCATCTTGGTCAGGGGAAACTTATAAGAACTTGTTTTATTGGTTACTGAAATATGCGACTTCTCTCAGGAATAGAAAAAACAAAAGTCGCACTGGCAGGCAGTGTTCGAATGGAACTTTTAGTACAACCTTCGTTCCCACTGTCAATGCATATACCACTGAGGATATCTGCCACAGTAGCAGACGACACGTGTGGTACTAAAGGTTCCATTCAACCGTGGCCTATCAAACCGGATTTCGTTCTATCTAATCGTGATTTTCTGGCCGTGAAAGCCTAAGTTCGTTATATTCTCTTAGGAAATTCAGATCACCGTTGAATTTAAAAAAAACATTTACAATTCGAGGTCACAACCACATCAGTTTTCTCAAACAATAACGCATACGCATATTATTAAGTTTTTTCTAGATATTTTGTAAGCCATTTCACGACACTTTATGACATCAAGTAAAAAATCAGTGACTGTTCTCCATGATATAATACAGATTCAGTGAAAAGGTTGGTCAAATGTAATTTTATTAGCAGCAAAAGTCTAATAGTCTTGAATTGATATGGATTTGTTTCAAACTGATATTTGAAACCATATATCAACCATAAATTTTCAATTTATTTCAATTTTCAATTTATGGTTGATATATCAGAACTGAGAACCAATTTTTCTTCTTTCAAATATCAGTTTGAAACAAATCCATATTAAATCAACATATTACTAGTACTTGATGCTCTAGCTAACTTTAAATATTTAGGCCACAGTACTGCATTTTTCAAACTTATTTTTAACCCCAATCTGTAACTTTAGTAATATTTCAAATTAAATATATTAAACATGCCTGAGGAAGCTATTGTACAGTGAAACACTTATTTATCATGGATTTTCACTAACTTAATTCACGTGAAAATCGCCTCACATATTTCGGTTTGACTAAATAGAATAGAATAGAAAAAGCTACCTACTTTTTATCCAACAGTCTTTCTTTCCCTTTGAATCGGAACAGAGTTGCTAATCCGAAATCACTTATTTTAAGATTGCCATCACTATCGATGAGTAAATTTTCTGGTTTTATATCTCTATGTGCAATTCCTTTACTATGTAGGTAGCTGAGTCCAAATAAAAGCTGTTTCATGAAAGTTTGGGCCATTCCTGAAGGCATTCCAGTATCAGGTTCTGAGGAAAATAAGGTACATTTATTTGAAATACAATTCTATGAAGTTTATTTATTTATTTATTTGCGGCATTGCCTATTTTTACAAAATAATTAACAAATTTTCACGTATGTACTATAAACCACATCAACCGATGTGGTTTTTATGTTTGAAAAGTATTCAAATTCTGTTTATTTTTGCCAACTATTCAAAAAATCTCTAATAAATTAATAGTACATGAGTAAAATAAATAAAACAAACATTTCAGATAAATAATCCGTAGGAACACTCCCTCCTGGTGAAGAGCTCCTGTTATTCAACTAATAAATAATAATTCGTAAGAACATTTTCTTCCTGTTCTTCAACTATGTGATTCGTCAACGTCGAGAATGCACAACTTAGTCAAAAGGTCTCCTAAATGTGCCCATGGACGTTTTAACATCTACCACTCGGATGTGACCATCTTTTCCTTGACGAACCTCAGTGACGATACCTTTTGGCCATGTGTTTCTCGAAAACTGGTTGTCAACTATGACAACCACATCACCAACCTTGGCTTTTCTTAGGGACGAAGAAAACCACTTAGTTCTCTTGGTTAAAACAGGTAGATATTCCTTTATCCATCGTCTCCAAAAATGATCCCAGAGAAGTTGAGATATTCGCCACTGTTTTATAGTAAATAAATCAGTTTCTTCGAAATCACCTGGGATCTGAGTTACACTTGATGTTCGCATTAAAAAGTGATTTGGTGTCAAGGCTCCACTGTCTGCTTGGTCGAGTGACACGTGAAGCAGTGGACGGCTGTTGACAATGGATTCGGCTTCTATTAATAAAGTCTGCAGAACTTCGTCTCGTGGAAATTTTTCTTTGAGAAAAACATATAAAGTAGTTTTGATGGATCTAATGAGTTTCTCCCAAGTTCCTCCCATATGTGGAGCGGAAGGGTGTATGAAATTGAATTCAAAGTTGTCAGTGGTTAAGTTAGAAATTAACTTATTCTGGTCCAAATCTTTTAAGGCTGTCTTAAGTTCATTTGCTGCTCCCCTCAGGTTCATGCCATTATCGGAAAATACTTTTTTGGGACATCCTCTACGACCAATGAGTCTTCTGATTGCCATTATTGCCGAATCTGTACTCAAAGAGTATGCCATTTCAAGATAAACTGCACGGGTGCTCATGCATGTAAACAGTACTCTGTATCTTTTATCATGTCTTCGGCCACCAGAAACATTCATAGGCCCAAAATAGTCCATTCCGACTATGGTGAATTGTCGAACAAATGAGGTTAGACGAGAATTCGGTAATGGTGCCATCCCTGGTAGTTCTGGTTTTGCCCTTTTATTTTTGCAAAATTGGCATCTGTTCCAACAACTCCTCACTGCTGATTATATGTTCAGAATCCAGTAACGTTGTCTCAGTTCATTTACGACCGTTATGCGCTGCTTTTAAGTGATACTGAAAAATCAGCAATTTCGTGAAGTAATTTGTTGGTTCGAAAATTATTGGGAATTTATAACTATAGAACTTCCCAAAAACGAACTTTCGGAACAATTCTAGAACATCATTTCAATGATGCTCCAGATATCCCTCCAATTTCAATTCCAAAGCGATGCTTCAAATTACTGACAACTTTATTCTCTGCTGAAATACCAATTGAAGATGAGATTATTAATACTCTTTATTCAGTAACTCAATATTTTTTAGTTTCAAAGGTACTATATAATTCAAAAACGTTCTAAAACAGTTCAACAAAAAATTATAGTGAATTGTTGAAATGAATGATTGAAGTGAATACAGAATGTGAAGTGAATTCAGAGTGTTAATAAAACTGTACGAAAAAAATATTTTGATGAAATATTTTTGAAAACAAATCTTGATTAGATATCTAATTCTCGATTAATTCTAAAATATTAAACTTACAAAGAAAAAAACGATATTCCATATTATGAAAAGTCAACTACGAATTGAACATTTATTATGAAGAAGCAATGAACAATGTCTGATACAAAAGTCCATGAAATACAACAGTCAATGACTGTCCTCACTTGAAACGAATGAAAGTATATTTGCTTATGAAAGCATGTTCCTGAAAATATTTTCGCTCCAATACCTCACCATTCATGATACCCTTTAAATTCTTATAAAGTTTAATGTTAACCTCACGCTCTCTCCTTTCAACATGAAATGCAATACTGTTCATTGTAATAATAATAATACATAATAATAATTGTAATTTATTGAACAAAATTACAATTTTGCTCAACTGGCTCTCGACCGAAGTCATTCCGCCCTTGTAACAAACTTGCTTTGAAATAACATAGCTTATTTTATAATATCAAAAAAATATATGGATATAAAAATGAACAAACAAAATAATTCCATTGATAAAGTTGTGGTAATTTTCCTAACAGTGTTTCTGTTGAGTGTCAATGTTGTACTCTTGCATAGGGGTTTCTTGTCACAGCATACTTTCTAATGATTTCTACATTGTCGTCTTTTCTAGCAAACTTCTAAGTAAGTGACGGTAGTCTTTCCTCGATAGGGATATTACCAGTGAGTTGGTACAGCAGAGGGATTGGAGGGTTGTGTTTGGGGTTATTGTATTATTCAACAGAAAATCGGTGCTTTCTGATATAGTGGTGGAAGACATTCACCATATTCAATAGATGAAAGAAATAACGAGACTTTTCCCAGGGATATAATAGTGAATACAAATACGTGCGAAAAAAATTAGCAAACTAAAAGGAACTTTTGATATTGAATGACTTTTGATTTTTGAGTCGCTTTTTTTAATTCAATTGGTCATTATTGAATGCAAGTAAGCCATTATTAGTAGGAGAGCAGAAATGTAGGTACTCTATTTTTACTGACTGGTAAATGAAAGTGATTTCGAGTACAAGTATTCTACTTTCTCACTCCGTCCCCACTCTGAATTCAGTTGCCATGACGCCATCACAGCTGATCACAGAGACTCGTTCGTGATGAAGATGATTAATTAAGCAATTAACTGATGGATGTAGCCGTTACGTACGTGGTAGGAAATCATAATGAAGAAAAGAGAAATTAAACTTTCTATGTTTTTTACCACTTTTTTTTCATAATAAAGTAGCTCCTGACTCAGTTAATCAGATGTTCCTTACAACGCAAGTAGATCAACGTAATCATGAACATAGCCATCTATCGAGAAACATTGAAATGTGGGAATTGAATAAGGCCTTGAAACACACACATAACAACTCGTATCTCATAATTTTAAAACTCTCTTACGTGAACCTACTAGGGTTACCGGATACTCCGCCACATGTATTGATAACATATGCGTAAATTTCAACAGCTACATAGACTTTGGAATCATCAGAGAGGAAATATCAGATCATTTCGGGCAATTTATCAGTGTTAAAATAAATACAGATTCTGTTTGGGACAACAAAGAGTTTAAAAAAATCAGGCAAATAAGTGAAATGGGCATAGCAGAGTTCAAACATCATATGAACAAAATAGATTGGACACAATTTTACTTATCTGACAATCCAAATATCTTAGCTAAATTTTTGTGTGATAACATAACGTATGCGATTGAAGTAGCATTTCCTCTAAAAAAAAGAAAATCAAAAAATTCATAAACCAAAGTGGTTCACAGACGATCTAAAAAAATGAGAAATGAAGTGAAACAAAAAAATTACATTTATAAAATGACGGGGAATCCAGAATCAAAACTCTTATATTTTAGCAAAAAAAAAACTACAGAAAAAAATAAACAAATCTAAAATAGAGGTGTATTATAATAGTGTCCTCACAAATAGTAAAAATGTTTCAAAAACTGCCTGGAAAATAGTAAATGAGATCAGAGGGAAATCCACTTTCAGTAGTGAAAGCACGTGCTTTACTGCGAATGAATTCAGTGAATATAGTGCCACAATGGTTGATAATATTATTAAAACAATACCTCCCACCGATCTGAGAGGCGAGGAACTTTTGAAAATCAATGTAAAAACCTCGGTATTCCTGAGACCCACAAACGAGAACGAAATTTTAACACTTTTGAGAACCTTAAAAAATAGTAGTAGTATGGATGCATATAATATCAGTTCGAAAATAATAAAACTCGTTCCTGCAATTTTAGCAGAACCTCTTACACATCTGATAAATATCTGCCTGGTAAAGAGAAAGTTTCCATCACACTTAAAACTGGGGAGAGCAACCCCTATTCTAAAGAAAGGTGATGCTAATAATTGTGGCAACTACATATTTATGACAATAACTCCTATAATCTCAAAAATAATAGAAGCTATTATCAAGGACAGAATAACCAATTTTTTAGAAAAGGGAAAACTCCTAGATGATCATCAGTATGGTTTTCGTTCTCTCAGATCAACCTCTCAAGCTGTCACTGATATAGTGCACACGATAGTCAAAAATCAAGATGTAGGGATACATACACATGCAATCTCATGTGACCTGTCAAAGGCATTTGATAGTGTTTCTCATGATATTTTGTTAAAAAAACTCCACAAATATGGAATACGTGGAACAGCATTAAATCTCATCGAGTCATACCTAAAAGACAGACAGCAATCAATATATATCACTAAATAATAAGACATCAAAAACTATAGAAGTCAAACATGGGGTGCCTCAGGGCTCAGTGCTAGGTCCCCTATTATTCATCGTTTACATAAACGACTTACCAACATTTATTGATACTGCTGATGTTTTTATGTATGCAGATGACTCTACTCTTTTGTTATAGGACAAAAACTTAAGCGCAATAGAACGTAAGTCAGAGGAAACATTATTGTAAATGGAAAACTTTTCAAATTCAAACGTTATGTCCCTAAGCAAAAATAAAACAAAGAACATCACATTCACGAAAAACAGTTGAGCTATTGGGTTTTCATGTTGATGCTCAACTGAATTGGAAAATACATATAAATGAAATTCAAAAAAAGCTATCCAAGGCTATATTTGTTTTGAGAAATCTAAGGTAAGTACTATCTAGCGAAGTATTGAAGACTGTTTACTATGATATGGTACATTGCCATCTTGTATATGGGGTTCTATTGTGGGGAACAAGCCCGGCTTGTCGTCAACTATTGGTGAGCCAAAAAAAAATTATAAGAACCATGGCCAATTTGGCAACAGAGCACACGCCAAGCCAATTTCTATTGAAATGAAAATCTTGACATTACCTTGTATATATCACTCACTCTCAAATATCCGTCTCAAAACAGATATATCGAAACTCAGTACTCGTAGAATTCATGCAGATATTATATTCCTCCATAAGTTGTTCAGTTCAAAAATTGATTGTTCAACTCTTCTTTCTGAAATTAAACTTCACGTACCTCCTAGAAGGACACGGAACAATCAAATGTTTGCAATCAACTTCCACAGGTGTAATTATGGTAAAAATTCTCCACTTTCTAGAATAGTTTCTAATGGAAATTAAGGTTGATCTTGACTTATTTTATATTCCTGAATGTTCTCTTAGAAATAGATTGAAAAATATTTAACTGTAAATCACAGGAATAAGTGCTCAAATATTCAAATATTTTTATTCTTAGGTTATTAGTATAATTAAAGTTAGATTAGTATTAGTGTTTACTTCCTAAAATGTATTGAATTTGTGTATACAAATTGGGGTTACCCGTAGATAAATAAATAAATAAATATATAATGGAGGCAATTCTATGGATACATCAAAATAAAGATAAATATATTTTGGGAACAGATCTTCATGGACATTATACACGAAATAAAAATCAATATAGAATGTCAAAAGTAAATAAGGAAAAAGCAAAAATACAAACTGAATATTTGCCAATGAAACTGTACAACCAAATACCAGTGGAATGGAAGTATTACACAACTAAAAAATTGAAATACTAACTAAAACAACCAATGCTGCTGAATCCACTATATGATATAAATGAAATTTTTCTTCATTCATGGGTCTAAATACTTATATTTTTGAATGTCAAGAGTGTGGACTACATATTTTGTGATAACTGCTCATATATGTATAAATGTGACTGATTTTATATATATGTAAATATCGAATTTTTCATATACTAACATATTTTTTTATTATTAAATACTTTTTGTAGTTTGTGACATATCTAAACAACAAACAGTTGTGTGACTACTGTAACATACTGTTTTTCTGTGAAAATTTTTAAAGGTGAATAAATATCTTATCTCATCTTATCTTATCTTATCTTATCATTAACATCACATGTTTTCTTGCTTTTACAAAGTTTTGTGTGATGTGATGATCCTAAACAACTGAAACATACTTTATTTTCTTTCATCCAGTCCCAACATTTCTCAACTTCTAATTTTTTTAAGTTGTGGCACTTCTCTACTTTACGTCCGTCTTTCTTGCAGAATTTACATCTGAATGTTGGTTTATCTGGTTGAATGGATGTGGTACACACCTATCTCTTTTTTTATCCAGTTCTCTTTCAGGAACAACGTACATTATGGCCTCACTTATTTTTTCAAGCCAAAGAGAAAATTCTACAATTGTGACAGACTTTTTCAGACGTTTCAGTTCCACTATTTGTTTTCCCCAATCTAATTTTAAATTTGAGGTCAATTTGATCACTGCGTCGTTCAAAAGGTTTATATTCAACAAATATTCAACACGTTTTAAACTTTGCACAGTAACTACCAGTCTACCAGTCATCTAATTTATCCATTTCTTAATGTGAAGCAAAATAGTCTCTTCCAAGCACCATTCACAAAGATTTATTCAAACAAAAACAGTATAATGAGAGACAGTCCAGGTGTCAAGCCTAAGGAGAAAGCCTCATATGTCCCTGGCCCCAAACTAGTCAAATTTATTCCATATTATCTAGGTGTCTATAGAATTTTCAAATGGTTTAGGATTTCAATCAAAAGTTTATAATTACCAATTTGCTGAAAAAGTTCTCCTCCAGCTGCATATTCCAAGAAAATATATTCCTTGAGAGGCTCCTGTCTACGTCCATAATATTTGATAATATTTTCGTGGTCCAACATTTTGTGAATCGTAACTTCTCTATTAATATTTGAGGAAGCATTTTTATATTTTCTGTGATTGATTATTTTACAAGCAATCTTCTCTTCAGTTTTTTTGTGGATCAGAAGCTTAACCCTACAAATTAAATGTTTTATATAATCATCTCTCTATTACCTTTTAATCAAAAACATACTCTCCATAAGCCCCTTCTCCTAAAGTTGTGTCATAACACAGCCAGTCTTCTACAAAAGCTGTCGTCTGCATTTTTATGTATCAAAAATATTCAAAAAGGACTAGCAAATAACTATATGAAACAACGAAAAACGAAACAGAATTATTTTAAAAAACGTGGGCTTTGTGTCAGGAAACAAATGAAAACATGAAAAATTCTAAGGACAAGAATACTTGCTAAAAATCACAGATTTGGAAATATTATAATGTAGAAACATAACTAAAAATAAACATAAAAAATTATTCCGACATGTTGATTTCGAGTATATGAAATTCGTTTTTGTTTGCCCTTTGCCCGAAATCGATTTTGGAATTTAGGACCTGCGATTTTTCACAGGGAGATGCAAATAATGTTGGTATGACGGAATAGTCACAGTATAACTAAAACCAGTAGAGCATTCTTATCCAGTGGAATGGAAAGATATTTGTGTCTCACAGTATTATTTTTCTAGGACTACTGCGCGTCCATAATTATCCGCCACGAGTGGATTTGTCAGCGTTTGACATTTCATACACTGCTCAACAAATGAATAATGAACAGTCAAACAAATTTCATGGAAAATTAAATGGGTGTTTAGTAGTAAAGTAGAATATTATTAAACGCTTTGCATTTTCAATTCAAATTGTTCCACGTTTTCACTAGCTCCTTCTCTGTTTGATTCAAATTTTGAAATCGATTTGAAAATAAGTTACCGAGGAGCTAAAGGGACTTGCAACTTCGAACATAGCTCGGAACTGGATACAATGCAATATTTTTCCATACTGTATAAATAATATAAAACATAAAATCGAACAGTGTTCGAAAAGTGTGTCGGAGAGTTTCTAAGAAATGAAAACAATTGGTTTGCTTGTCCAACCCAGCCGATCCAAAAACATTGAAACATACATGTACGCAGGTGCATGGTTATCTCAACTAATAATAATGATTAATGTTTACTTTAAAAAGTGCTACGATTATTCGAATAAAAAACAATTACAACATTCAATAAATGACGTAGCACAAAATGATATTTCAAAAACTTATATTTTAGAAAATCCTCAACACAATATAGAGTTCTAGATCTACAAGTATCTTTTTGCTGTTTCTTTTTTAATTGATTGCTACTAGTAGAACGTCTTACAAGTACTGGTAACTTGTTGTGAAATTTCATTGCCTTATAATAGGGAGATTTTTCAGTAAGTCTCAATCTCAGAGTTTATCTTTTGTTACTCTGAGGTCTCAATGTATGATATGGAGGTCATGTCTCCTAGTGTTGAATTCGTGTTCTGTGGCATTTAGATTAAAACGTTTTCTAATTTTAAACAAATACATCAAACATTCAAAAATGTACAGAGCATAAACAGTCATGATCATCATTCTTGAAAACTGTTCGACAAGAGTCCTTATAATATTTGTAATTGATTATTCTCATTACTCTTTTTTGAATAACAAATTCCACTTGTATTTTTATTGGATCCCAAAAAATTATTCCGCAGCTGAAAAGTAGTGTTGGTAAATTATATATCATTTGGTTTTTCCTCTGATGCAAGATAGTTTGCAAATATTATCACTTCAGTTTTATACTCGTTCAATACTGACTTATTTATTTTCAACTAATTTTTTTGTTTACTGAAAAAACAGTTAACCATCATCTCATCTAAATGAAGAATTATACTGGTTTTTTACAAGTACCACTGCAAAAGTGTTCTCCTTGAAAAACATTGCAAGTTACGCCCCTGTAACTTGATACAATTCAATACCCGTCATGGCATTAGGAAAGGAAGCAGTTGATATGACAGGTGTTTGCCATAACAGCCTACATGGGGAATAAAAATAGCTGAAACATCGGTCGGCAACAACTATCGTTTCTAAACGATTTCCCAAAAGATATCGAAGCTTGGTACCAGTGTATGAATATAATAATAATTGTAATTTTGATGATATCAATATACCATACCATTATTCAATAAAATACTTCTAGAAAATTGGGACGAGTATAAAAGAGTTAGGAATCTACTGCAACTATCATAATTCACTACCAATTATATATGAACTGTTGTCAGTCATCTCAACGACAGATCTCGCTACACTCCTTCAGAAAATTACATGGTAGAGAATAATAATAATCAACAAATGAATTGATACTCATTATAATACCTCAACTATAAATATTAATGTAATGGACACGAAAAAAAAATTTATAGATGATGCAAATTCAGTAGTTTTTGATTTATTTTTTAATTTTTTTACCAGCATTTTAACTGTTGGTCTATTAACTTCATGGAAAAAATATACGAACTCCCAGCACAAACAACGATAACCAATAATCCATTGGAAAATTCTTACAAGGGTGAAGAAATGTGATTGTTGAACAATGCTCTTTTATAATTTTTCCAACATTTTGCATCACCGAACGTTGTGGAAAGAGATGACTGAAATTATTTTCTAAACGACCAAGTGACAGCGGAACCCGACAAGGCTGAAAATAGTTTAGGAGTAATGTTTTGAGACAGTTATCCATCCTGTCTTTAAAAAAATTTTTGTGTGATGCTTCGAAAAGTTATAGAAACGATAATTATACTATCTATCAAATATTTTAGCTAATCGGCTGAGTACACAGACATTTCGGTAATTACCTGCCCCTTTATAAAAATGAATATCTAGAGTCCTTCAAAATTGATGAGAACTTATCTGACAAAAATAATCATTGATTATATGAGCTAGAGGCAAACTCATCGTTACCTTGACAAATCATAAATATTTTCCACATATACCAACTACTGATGCATGCTTACACATCGTCTTTATTATATATTTCTCAAAAATAGTTTAATTTTGGAACATCAAACCCACACTTCAAAATCACCGAGCTAGATGTAACGTCCTTCTCCTTATGCATAAGATATGTCTCTAATTGAAACATATTGCAATAAAACTGAATAATTACAGATTTGATAAATCAACAAATGATAACTAATTCTGACTCCTTTAATAGTTAATAAGAGGAAAACACATCTATTTTTCAATTGGGAATAAAATCATCTAACAAATACCAAAAACTATGCTAACTCTTTTATTTTACAATTATATACAACAAAGAATTCGATTACACATATACAAAAACTGTTCCAAGACTTCCACTGAAGACAATATAAAATATTTCAATATAGAAATAGGATGTTGAGCTGCTTTCAAATTTTTGAAAAATGCCATGAATTTAAAACCAGGTCTGTCAGCCTCATCTTCAGGAAAAATGTATTTTTTCATGTATTGTGTATGCCTTATAGCAATAATTCTTTAGTCTGGTCTTTGGGTATGTGATCAAGCGCATATTTGTAGATTACCTTCGCTCTTCCATGCTCTTTCTGATTTTCTTAGAATTTAGCAAAAGTAATATACAAATTTTCGTCCAAATGATCGTCACCACAAAACTTAACAGCGCGTTCAAAGATTTGGCGAGCAGAATGAATAAAACCGTGTTTCTCCTCAAATTTTGCATACTTAATCCAGTGTTTCACTTCTGGGTGAGTCATAACAAACCTTTTATATATTTGTTTAGCTCTATCAATTTCTTCATACCGAAGTTCAAAATTGATGGAAGTTTGCCATGCCTGCTCATCAGGTTGCCACTCCATCCAACGTTCAAAGACAGCACGGGCTCCAGGTACATTTTTCAACATTTCCTCCATATAAGTGTATTTTACCAAAAAGTATCGATCCTAGGTAATATCGTAACAGCTCGATCCCACAAATTTCTTGCATGGTTTACCTAAAAAACAGCTAATTAACAGATCAAATATAATTTTTTTACAATCAGAAATTTAAAACTGTGAACTAGGCATGTTCTGCTAAAATCAGAGAATTTCACTGATGCTTCAAAAACATTTTCGTGTTAAAGTATATTCTAAAATAGAACTGTTTTAGAATACTCCCATTATTTTTTAGAGACTCTAGAAACTATTGTCATAATAATGCTGCAATTATCTTCCATTATAAAAAAAATCATATTTCTATAAACACTTTTAAGATTCATTACACTAAAAAATAACATCAAGAGACAATGGTTGAAAGAAAAATAACAAGACCTCTCAACTGTATACAGAAAAGGATCAGTCTGAAAGTTGTGCAAGAACTTATGGGGGTGGGTCTTAGTAAAGCTAAATGTGTATTTCAAGTAAAGTATGACTAGTGTGGAGATTACAAACAATTACTTCCACAACTAATACCGATTTCCATACTGAATCTCGTTCATTTACTTCTTTAGTTCACATGTATGAATATAAATGAAAATTATTAAAAAACCTTTATTATTACTATTATTTTTAGAAGTTATATCTAATAGAAGAAGTTATTGCAGATATTTCTCGTTCGTCCAGCAGCAGGACGTCACAGAAATCAATTTAATGATCACCTGCAGACTGGGGACAATGCCAGTTGATCCTCAGGGATCGATATAGGGACCACGGCTTCCTCTAATATTAGCGAATAATTCAATGAAATATCTTCATGACCTTGCAATAGTACATGTATTTGCATATTTGAGTTAATATACACCTATTCAATAATAATCTGTCTGTTTAAAAAAAAAAACTGTTTAAAATCTGTTTTTCCGTTAATCAGCTGTCGCCCCCATACGAACGACAACTCTCAGAAGCTGAGAAATTTGTGCGAGCTAAGGACTAACGAGGTCTTACCTTTTAACGTGTGATTCCTAACACGGTTGCAGAATCATCCCAGATTCAACCAGATAAATTCTCTCGAGAAAAATATCTGGTCGAGGCAGTAATCGAACCCACGGTCTTCCGATCGTGAGTCGGGCGCACTACCACCGCGGCCAATCATTCTGATTAATAAGTCTTTGAATGTTAACAAATACTTCAAAAAAGTGCTATAGAGGTTTAAGGTATGAAAATATTGCGTTCATGTCCAGTGAATGTAGTGATTCTAATATAATATTACCTGTCGATTTTTCATTTCCATTTCTGTGTATTTGAATCATATTAGGACTCTCTGATGATCCACGTCTAAAGCTCTCTCCCAAACTGATCTTGCACGATGTTGCCTGTGGAGCATATGTCTGTGTCTCTCGACAAATCCACAATTAAACCACTCAAAGGATAGGAAATTCCAAAACATTGTTTCAAATTCGGCTTTTCCATCAACATATGTATAGGGACCACGTTCAGTAATAATGTCATTCCAGCAAATCATTATAGAAACATCATTACTAAAAATTTTCCCGTCATTCCCTGTCATTATTTTCCGTACCTTACATGTATATTTTTTCTGGTATTATTTTTTATCATTATTATGTTTTGAGTGGCGTAGAAATCACATAGATTGTATTTTTATCGATTATGGATTTTAAGAAAAAACCATGTCTGACTATAATTATTGCATTGATTATGAACCGTTTTGTTAAATGTCGTTAATAGATGAAGAAATGGTTAAAAAACGTGAAAATTTAGTGTAACTAAAGGAAATAAGTGATACGAAGGAAGTGAGCAATTATAAAAATTATTTTCGTATGAACGAAGACATTTTCAATAAATTATTGTGAATGATCCAACTAATTCTAACACAAAAAATACGGTTATGCCGAACAGTTACCAATTAAATGAAAGATTGGCTTTAACTCTAAGATGTCACCGGCCTGAATAAGTACAGTTTTTTTTGAAATCTTGAACTGAGTAATGATAAAATAATGATGCCCTCGCTTAACACGATTATTATTAATGACAGTATCTTCTTCCCCTGATAAGAATAATTCCCCAAAATTAAAATATCCGGATTCGCTTCATTACCGTTTCAATACTTGCGATCATTCCAGTTTTTTATTTTAACGCGTTCATTATTGTCATTATTTTCAGGTAATGACATCATTACTGAACGTGTAATGGACACATGGGTTTGTGTAGTGCCGTCATCGGTAGAAACTTTTTCCTATAGAGGTCGCAGTCATATTTGTTTCGGATCCCTAATCCAAAAAATACTTTTTGAGAACTGCTGACGAGCTCATTTGTAAATAAAAACAAAAACACAAAATTTCTTCGTTTTGTTCGTAGAGACAACCCACGTGTTGCAAGTACAAAAAATTCTACAACGCCAAGTCCTAATACTGCGTCATTGCATTTATTCTAAAAATGTGCGTAATTCTTAATATTGATTGGGTAATTTAAAATAGTTCCAACTTTGACGTACAATAGTGTTCATTTTGCGACTATTTTGTGAAACTATATATTTCTATTCTGTAAAATTTTAGATTCAAAATGAATCATCTGATGCAAAAACTAGGTTATTTTATGAATTTCGCCAGGCCAGTTGAAGAAAAAGTAATGAAAGTATCCAAATACGAAATATATTTTGAGCAGATGTACAAAATTCTGAATTGGGAAGACAATACACTCACCCTCATAGTATTTTTGGCGTTCAACCTGGTGTTTTGGTAAATCGCAAAACTGCTAGTGACTGTGCGTTTTTAATGTAATTTTTTCATAGGATTATAGTTAATTGGGAGATAAAATTATTTGGCTTGCTATTCACCACTTTTTTGGTATGGTTCATCTGGAATTCCTTTTTTGAAGCAAAGGATTTTTCATTTTACGAAGCAAAATATAAAGAAGCCTTTGATGAAGTATGCATGTACATATGTGAAGTTAGTACCAATATGAGGATTCTAAGAAGAGACAGCCCTTTAGTGGTAGGTTATTAATTGAATATTCATTTCAGCTTCAGCATTTTCCATTTTAATCTGAAAGGTACAAAGCTTTAAAGATCAAAGAAAAATCATATGATTAATAGAAAAAATAATGATCCCCATTTATTGTTCTGAGCCATTCGCCTGATTGGAGACACAAACAGTACTTGCAACTTTGATAGTCTGGAAGAAAGGTTGGAGATTTGTCACTCTGCTATAGATACTTTCAGGAGAGGTGTTCAAGTGACTGGTGCATTTGATTTCACCAAGAGCGGTGCACACTAGAAATATGCGACGGATTGTGACTGCTCATCGTTTTGAGGTTCAACTCAGTACACCTTGAACTTCACTGTTTAAGAACTCTTTTATTTTGAGAACTGCATTTATGTGGAATAAACTTTCTGAGAAGGTTTTTCCAAATAAAATAATTCTCCAGCGATTAAAATCCAACGTGACTCCCTACTTTCACACAGGCACTCCTCTTAGAGCGCCTTGAGGATTTTCCTGTAGTGCTTGTGTTTTCTCCTTGAAAAAAACTAATAATGATTATGTTTTAACCAGTACACATTTTAAAGTTGTCCCAAATTTGAAATTATCAGAGAAATGGCTTTGACCGCCAATTACTTATAAAAAAATTATTGCAGACAAAAGTATGTTTCTTATATTGTTTGAAAATGAAATCATTCAGAATAACTCAACTGTTAGGCCAGAAAATAATGGAAAACGAAAATATACAGTTATGATATTTATTCATCCTTGAAGTTATTAACAACTTATGTTAATTTAAGCAATATAAAAGCAAAGCATTAAAAAATCCAAATCTAGCAATAGTTGGCTATAAAAATAGAAACATTGTCGTGAACTATAGCAACAGGAACCCACTCAGTTCAGATGGTCTGAGAGAAATACTAAATGTTCATATGTTTATGGTATGGTAAATGATTAAATGGTTTCATTCCCTTGAATTTGGGCAATTGTTGAAATTTGATAGTAATTCTTGCATGATTTCCTTTAAGGAGTACTAAATAATTTCCTCATCACTATTTTTGTGAGCAAAACCATGTCTATATCAACAGCATTGATAAAGACGTGGTTAGATGGCTACAGACAAGACTAATATACAGCACGCAGGGCATACAATTCTCTATTCTTGTCATAATGTGCCTCATTAATTTTTTTGCACCACTTCAAGTTGGTATTTACGTAAAAGCCAGTCTCACACAACTTGTGTTTACCAGTGCAGTTCCATTGATTTGTAAGAGAAGTGATTGCTTACCAAATCATTTTTCAAGAGATACTTTTTGTTCGAGTTTACAGTTGGATTGTTCATTCCACATCATTTTAAGATCTGGCATATTGACTCTACGCTGAGACAGCGAAAATACTGAGAGCATTTTAATAACCTGTGAAATAGGTTTGCAAATCATTAATAAACAAGAGAAAAATCAGCGGACCTTACCCAGAGCTCCAAAGAACCCAAGGACCTAACTTTCTAACTCATGATAGACCAATGATAGATCAAACATCAGTCAATCTGAAAGAAAGCCAATGATCTATTCTTAAAAACCGCTCTAAAGTCTAGATTATATAATTTACTTTCAGTTATTTCTACAATCGAATGCCTGTGACAGATTAAAGAACATCACTTCCTATTAAATTGTTCAAGTATTTTTTTTTAAGTTTGTTAACATTTTTTTGAAAATGAACTTTCATTATGATAGCCAAAAAACAAATTCAGATATTTGTGGTAGTTAGGTTTAGGGGCATATTTAGACTTTTCTGAAACCAACTACTTTTAATGTTCCAAATTAACGTTTTTTTTATTAACTGGAAAACCAAACATTTTGACATAATTATTGTTTAATTTCCAGCATTAAACATTGTGAATCCATTTCATTCATCAGATTTCATAGCAGAAATTTCCTAGTTTTAGATCTGTTCCCCTTTATCTATTCATACTATTCATTTAATTATTGTTTTAGTTTTGCAGTGCAATGTGTATGATTTGTCTGTTATTGATTTGCTTATCAAGAACTGTATCCGGATATATAATAGCCTATCTCTTATTGCTGGCTATATTCTTTGTGCCATTAGGATTCAAATTTTTACCAGACGATTATTCTGAAGCTATTATGAAGTTGGTGAAGTCCATTGTCAATGTTAACGGATATGTAGAAGTGGTAGCAGAAGAAGAACTTATACCTTTCATTACTGGAAAAGATTTTGGCAACAAGGATAATGACTTGGATAGTTTGTTGACTGACAAAACACTTGGTAAGTTTTTTTTGGTTTCTCATTAAATTTCAAACATTTCCATTTTGAAGAATTAGCTTGGGAATGGATAAAAAATAAATATATGATAGTTACGAAAAAAGTTAATCCATACATTCTGTGTCAATTTTTGGTTTAATGAATCTAAATCATCGTCCAATACAAACATCTCTGTATTAAAAAAGGATACCAATACGAGGTACCTTAATTGATGTGTGCTATTGACTCTAAAAGAAGGTTTACACAGAATATTACTGGAGTTTTTTCCCAACACCAAACCATTATTTTAACACCTCGACATGTGTTTCGATCACCAAGTGATCATCTTCAATAGGAAGATCCAACTTTGGTCTTCCTCTTGAAGATAATCACTTGGTGATCGAAACACGTCGAGGTATTGAAATAATGGTTTGGTGTTTGGAAAAAACTCCACTAATATTCATTGCTACACCAAAGGTTCCAAAGAGTGAATCAAAAGGTTTATACAGCATAGTGAAATGGAATAGATGAGTTTATTTCGGTTCACCTAATCAAATTGAACAAAATTACAACATGAAATAATCTTTGAACAGGAGTTTTCTAGTAGATACTGAATATATGTATACACCATAGAAAATGACAGAAAAAATAACAAAAACAGTTTGTATTTACATAGCACAATACAACACTTTACAAATACAGCCAAAAATAATTTATTTTAAAAATTTCCAATATTGATTACTTAAAGTGTATTGAGAGTTAGACATAAGTCGAATGAACGGGATGAACAGTGGTCTGTAAGAATCTCGTGGCTTTGCTTTAGATTAGATTAGATTTTTTATTGGTCAAGTTATTACACCTTAGTGCTATGACAAGTCAATAATATATAAAATACGGAAAAGGAGTAGGTAGTACATAAAAATTGTATATGATACAAGCACAAAATAAAGTAAATATATAAATGTAAAAATAAAAATACATAGAGACAGTACCCACATTGACGATAGTCACTCTGTAAAGCTGAAGTCAGACGCATCAGAGTCATTCTCTGAGAGATTTTTTTTTCAGTTTCCATTTGAAATTAGCGAGGGTTGCATTTTTCATTGATTGGGGCAGTGAGTTGTACAATCATATGTATGGGTTACATCTCCTTGTTATTTCTAGTCTTTGGTTTAGGACTCTAATATTATCCTTGTTCCTACTATTATACGAATGGTTGTTACCGTTTGTAGTTAACTTTTGTAACTTTTCTTGAATGTGTATCAAATTGCAGTATATTACACTTTATGGCAGAGTTAATATATTGAACTAAATAAACCAATTCTTAAAGCTCTCCATTTGACCTATTCCAGCTAAAGCTCAGAGTGAAAACGTATAGCTCTTTTCTGTATAAATGAAATTGATTGCAATTTTGTCACAGTACATGCACCCCAGAAAGAAATTACATATCGTAGGTGAGGTTCTATGAGAGAGTGATATGTAACTTTGGCAGCAGCAAATCCTAACTCACAAAATGTCAGCCTCACAGCGTAAGACCCAGAGGACAACTTTGATTTGAGAATCCTTATATTGTCTTCAAATTTCAAATCACCGTCAATGATTTGTCCCAGAATTTTAGTTGATGGTTTATTCACAACAAAGATGTCAACTTGTAAATTGCTAATGAACCATTTGAAGCAAATTACCTTCGTTTTAGATATATTAAAACTGAGGAGATTTGCATCACACCATCTTTTTATTTTGCTTATATCACAATTTATTATTGTTTCAATTTCAGAGAGATTTTGATCATGCTGTAAAATTTTAGTGTCGTCAGCGAATAGTGTGTCAGATCATTTATATGCAGAAGGAATAATAGTGGACCAATGACTGAGTTTTAAGGAACTCCACAATTTATTTTTCCTTTCTCAGAATAACTGGTCGTTTTAACAATTTGACTACGCCCAGTTAAATAGAATTGAAACTAATTGAGACTTAAGCTTCTCATTTGATACTGTTGTAGTTTCCGAAGCAGTGTACTATGAATAACACAGTCAAACGCCTTAGATACGTCACAGAACACAGCAGCTGCAATCTCTGCAAATTTGTTTTATAGACTGTACAGTAATGAAAAAATGGCATCTTGTGTATTTTTTCTACTCTGGAATCCAAACTGACGTTTGTTTATTATCTGGTTTTTCTCTAGAAAATCCACTAGTCTTCTCTTGGCTAGTTTTTCTATAATTTTTGTGAGTGTTATTATTAAGGAGATAGGTCGGAAGTTAGAAGAGATCAATATCTCCACCTTTATGAAGAGGAATCACAATAGAGGTTTTGAGAAAATTTGGAAAAACTTATTCTTCAAATGAGGTATTTATTAAATCAACTAGAACTAATGAAGCATTGTCTGGCAGATTTTCGAAAATATTCAAGGAAATTTCGTCAATTCTTGAAGTGTTTTTGTTTCTCATCTCCCTATAAAGACTCCTTTCAATTCAGAGAGAATAAAATTATCTGCTATACTAATATCAATTAAATTATCTAATGGGTCATACGGAATGTGAATATTTTCAAATAGTTTTTCTCCAATTAGGCAAAAATAGTTATTGAAATCGATGGATGATAATGGTATGTCCAATTTATGCTTTCACTCTTTCCTCTGAGATCATTGATTATCTTCCATGTTTCTTTTGACTTATTGCTTGCTTTGTTTATTCTGTTTGTAAAATAGAGAGTTTTAGCTGTTTTAATGGTGTTTCTGTAAATTCTGCGGCAGTGGTGCGAATATTGTGAACTTTCTAATGTGTTATACGCAACGAAGATTTGCTTGTAAACACCTTTATACCCTTTGTTATCCACTCTCATTTATCATTATTTTTTATTTTATTTTTTAAATTGGAAACTTATTATTAAATGTAAACGATAACATGGTATAGTATTCTAGAAAAGGATCTTCAGATAATAGAATTTGATTCCAGTCCATTAAAAGGCAGAAATCGTAGAACCTTTTATAATTTGTAGCACAGTACAGTCTTCAATATTTGAATTTAGAACAACTTTCGTTGTTATAGTCAGATTCAACATTATAGTGAATGACTTCTTGGTCTGACAAACTTGAGGGTGATACCTCGCAAAACACACTGTCAGTATTCAGGTTAGTACATAGATGGATTTTGAATATTGTGTCATTCAAGTGGATGGCGGAACATGCATCGCCAAACTGAACTCTCTAAAAGACTCAATAGGGAAATTGTGTCTTTTAAGTTGACATCTTCATAATCCGTGTTAGGAATCACACGTTAAAAAGTAAGACCTCGTTAATCCTTAGCTCGCACAAGTTTCGGCTTCTGAGGGTTGTCGTTCGTAGGGGTGCTGGTTAACGGAAAAACAGATTCAACAGATTTTTTTTAATATTCAGATCTGTCAATATGATACTTGCAAATGTATTACTCATGCACTGACTAATATATTTGGATCTGACGAAGGTGATCTATATATGCAAAGTATATACAATTTTAATTTATCACAAAGGCACATGGATAACTCAAATGACTTTTCCATTGAATATTTGTTATATTTATCAACTTCACGAATTTTAGTTGTTTGAGCAGTGAGTTATTAACCAAAAATTACAAGTTCCCCATATGGTGAATTTCTGCAAAACAAAGAGACCACACTACAATTTGGTAGATGCATGTTTTCATTTGGATTTAACAAATGTTCCGTTATAAGGATGATGCCTGGAAAATGCAAGCTCTCTAATAAAATATACAATTCAGAATACTTATTTCTGGACGATTGAATATTGAACAATATCAGACTTAGCGAATAAGGTGATTATTATAATATGATCTTCGTAACCAACGTTAATACGCTAATACTATGTTTTTGTTTGATCTTACTAAGCTGAATATGCTACAAAAACTTCAAAATCGTGGCATGAGAATAATTCTGAGAACTAATCGTCTCACCCCCATAAGATCTATGTTAGCAACGCTTAATTGGTTCTCAGTCGAAAAAAGATTGTATTATTTCACAATGATTTTTGTATATAAAATATTGAATAACCTGGCTCCTGTTTACTTTCATACATTTATAATATTGAATAGAGACATTCACACTTATAACACTCGGGGTAAAAATGACATTCACATTAGCAGCACTGCTTATCGCAGTACTATGAACTCTTTATTTTTCAAAGGTTTCCAAGAATTTAATAAACTACCAGACTTCATTAAAACATCATCATCGTTGAATTTGTTTAAAAAACAATTGAAAGAACTNTAAAAAACACGTTTTTTTCCGGATATCGATTATCCGACGTACTATTATACTAGCGCAAAATATTTTTTTATATCAGAATTATATTTTTAAATAATGAATTAATATTACGTAATTAACACTGTTTTATATGGGAATAGTTTATTGTTTGTCCCTACTACTAGTGCTGCCTCTCGTGACACGTTCGCTGTACTATTCTCAGGAAAAAGGCTCATTTTTCTATATTTATTGTTATTTTCTTCGTCACCCGCGAGCAACGCCGCGGATAAAAGCTAGTTGCTAATATATTGATAAAAGGATTTGCTAAAATACTATTCCAAACTATAATAGGATCTATCAACAAGTAGGTTCTTCACCGCCTTTTTGAAATGAATGTTTCTTGAATTTGCAGATCTCATTTCTAATGGTAAAAGATTGAACAATTCACCACCATTATATTATATGGAATCCTTGATTAAATTCGAAGTTGAGATGGGAAGTCTAAAGGTATAATTGCTATTACGAGTAGTATAAGGAGTAGAAGCAAAGTTGAACTTCGATTTATGTTTATAAATAAAGCAAATCCTCTCTAAGATAACAAGAGCGATGACTGTTAACACTTTATTGGCAGTGAAAAAATTCGTGCACGATTCTCTGGGTTTGACTTTACAAGAGACATATGTAGTGCCTTCTTCTGTAATATCAATACAGAAGAGAGTAGGGATGAGTTGCATGCTCCCCAAAAAGGTATTCCATAACGTAGTCAAGATTCAATAAGTGCATGGTAAACGGTCTTTGCGACATGGAAACCCAACTCATTTGAAAC